GTTTTCGGTACGGTACATATACGTCTGTTAGCGTAGTGCACCCACCTCATACGAGTCCGGATCATTGCGATTCACACTTATTAGGACCAAACACATCTTGCTGATGATGTCGGGTGGATATGCAAGACTTCGGTCCGATGAATAAGACTCATGCATTGCCGTCAGACGTTGCCATCTGGCGGACGGATGCAGTAGCACCCTCTTCAAGTAGTACACCTCTTGTATAATTCCAATTGGCGAGACCTAGAAACCACTCTGACATCCAAAGACGTACTCTGCCGAGATAATATGCCAACAGCCACGCTAAGCAAACGGACCAAGCCCCGGAAACGAAGACTGAAGCAAGGCCAGCGTTTTCGGTACGGTACATATACGTCTGTTAGCGTAGTGCACCTCACACACGAGTCCGGATCATGCGATTCACACTTATTAGGACTAAACACATCTTGCTGACGATGGTATAAGGTACGCTGCGCTTATAAATATATATGTACCGTACCGAAAACGTTGGCCTCGCTTCGGTCTTCGGTTTCCGGGGCTTGGTCCGTTCTCTTAGAATTGCTGTTGACACGTTATTTCGGTACAGTGTGTCTTTGGATGACAAAGCCGTTCTCAGGTCTCGCCAACGAATTATGCAAGAGGCGCACTACTTTAAGAAGGTGCTACTACAGTCTGTCCGCACATGATGGTGACATCCCACGACAGTGCATGAGTCTTATTCATTGAATCAAACCATTGCAGCTCAGCCGACATTGTCGGCACAATGTGTTTATTTCTACTAGTGTGAATCGCGTTGTAAGGGCTCTTGTTTCAGGTGCACCGCACGACTAAACGTATATGTACCGTACCTAAACCGTTGCCTTTGTTTCGGTCCTCCGGTTCCCGGGGCTTGGCTTTGTTCCTCAGGGTTCGTGTCGGGATGTTATCTCGGCGGGGTGTGTCTTTGCCTTTCAGAGTGGTTTTTAGGTCTCGCCAATCGGAATTATACAAGAGGTGTATTACTTTAAGAGGGGCGCTACTACAGCCGGTCCGCACATGATAGCAGCATCTCACGGCAATGCATCAGTCTTATTCATCGGGCCGAAGTCTCGCAGTTCCACCGTCATTGTCAGCACGATGTGTTTAATTTCCATAAGTGTGAATCGCCTGATCCGGACTCGTGCATGAGGTGCACTGCGCTAATAGACGCATATGTGCCGTACCGAAAACGCTGGCCTAGCTTCAGTCTTCGGTTCCAAGGCTTGGTCCGTATCCTTAGGATTTTTATTGGCATATTATCTCGGTAGAGTATGTCTTTGGATGCCAGAGCGGTTTTTAGGTCCCGCCAATTGGAATTATACCAGAGGTGTACTACTTGAAGAGGGTGCTACTGCAGTCCGTCCGCCAATGATGGCAACATCTGACGGCAATGCATGAGTCTTATTCATCGGACCGTGGTCTGGCATATCCACCGACATCGTCAGCAAGATGTGTTTGGTCCTAGTAAGTGTGAATCGCATGATCCGGACTCGTGTGTAAGGTGCACTACGCTAATAGACGTATATGTACCGTACCGAAACGCTGGCCTTGCTTCAGTCTTCTTTCCCGGGGCTTGATCCGTTTCCTTAGGGTGGCTGTTGGCATAATATCTCGGCAGAGTATGTCTCTGGATGTCAGAGCGATTTCAAGCCTTGCTCGTTGGAATTGTGCAAGAGGTGCACTACTTAAAGAGTGTGCTACGACAGTCCCTCTGCACGACATGATCGCAGCATCTCACCGCAATGCATGAGTCTTATTCATCGGACCGAAGTCTTGCAGTTCCATCGACATTGTCAGCACGACGTGTTCAGTTCTAAGGGTGTGAATCGCATTATCCGGACTCGTGTGTGAGGTGCACTACGCTAACAGACGTATATGTACCGTACCGAAAACGCTGGCCCTGCTTCAGTCTTCGTTTCCCGAGGCTTGATCCGTTTCCATAGGGTGGCTGTTGGCATATGATCTCGGCAGAGTATGTCTCTGGATGTCAGAGCGATTTCAAGCCTTGCTCGTTGGAATTGTACAAGAGGTGCACTACTTTAAGAGGGTACTACGACAGTCCCTCTGCACATGATGGCAGCATGTCACGGCAAACGGAGTAGTCATATTAATTGAATCCAAGTGTTGTAGTTTAAGCGACAATGTCGTCACGATGTGTTTGGTCCTAATAAGTGTGAATCACATTATCCGGACTCGTGTATGAGATGCACTGCGCTAATAGACGTCAATGTACCGCACCGAAAACGTTGGCTTGGCTTCGGTGTTTGGTTCCCGTGGCTTGGTCCGTTTTTTAAGACTGCTGGAAATGCTTCAGTTCCGCCGACATTGTTGGGTTTTTCTCTGTGCTGTCTGTTTGGAAATATCAATTCGAGACACGAATGTGAAGAACTGGGATACTTTTCTTAATTGCTCGAATGTACGTAATTTGGTGCTTATGTTGCCCTTTTAGTACATGCTATAAATCGTCGGCTGTCTGCGTGTTAAAAATCATATGACCTGTTCGTGGCCGAAATTATTATATTATCAGATGGTTATTTCTTGAAGATGATAGGCAATCATGCGAGCATTGTGAGTAGCAGTGGTCGAAACGACGTAGTGTATAATGTTAATTGCCTGCCCTTTATTTTTGGTGCTAAAGATGTCGTTTGGATTGTATGATTTCAAAGTCGGGCAATCCTGCTAACGCGAGCTGGTTGAGCCCGTGCCGCACTGCGCGTAAAACGCTCGCGGTGGAGATTTTTCTTCTTCTAAAAAAGGTGAAGTACTTGAAGAATACCTTTCAATATTTCAAGGTACAAAATTGACACGATAAATTCACAAATTCTGTGTTTAAAACACAGAGTCACTTGTATTGGCACATCACAATCTAATGTTTTGAGATAATTCTCATGCCTTAAATGTTTATGGCAAAACATGCAAAGCAACCAAAATATTTTAGCAGCACCTGCTCAAAATTCGGCACGATTCAACCCATATTGAGCTTGATGCTCACATGCAATAACGGCAGGCAAAACTCACGAAGATCATCTCAAAGGCCAGTGTCGGGCCTTTGGCAGCAGACGCCAAGTTGTACTGCTATTTACACACGTATTTTGGTCTAAAGATTGTTGGGACACGTGTATAATTCGCAAAACCATCTGGTTACTCACCAACTAAATTTCCCCTGCAATACGGTTCGTATCCTTCAGGACTCTACACATGGGGAATACCGGCGCCGCCAAATCTGTACCGGGACAGCAGTGGTCGTTGGTCGATGGTGGTATCGGGCAGATAATTGTCACACACACGCAGCTTTCGTCATCTGTCGCAACTGTTGCAACAGCTGATGAATAGTGCTGGACAAGATATAACCTGACGCATACGACCAAGAGATGGTCTACCAGGCTGTGTAGTTACGACACCAAGAGTCGATTATTTCAAAGGACAACCGGCCGGTAGCGCAGGCGTAGGGGGGGGGGGGGGGGGCGGAACACCGGCGCACTTGCCCTTTTAGGTTCCGAGGGGCACTTCGGACCCCTTGGAACGATTAAGAGTCCTATTTGCGGGCCCGAAGGGCCCGAAAAGCCAGTCAGAGCTCTCATTCAATGGCCGGGCACTCAAATGCCAGCCAAAGCGCCCTGCGCGCTGATCAGAGGCCCACTAAGTCGATAAGGGTCTTTATTTTGGTCAGACGCCACCAGTAACGCACACCTGGCTATGTGGCAACATGGGCCTAAGGGCCTAAGGGTCATGGCTCCAGCTTTGTCCCAAGCAGGGACAAAGCCGGAGCCAGCGATTTGCATTGCTCGGGGCCCCACAGCGCCCAACAGGGGCCCTGTGTTGTCAAGGGGTCCCTAGTCAGCCAGATGCAGTGCTCGAGCAGGCCCGAAGAACCTAGAGGGCCCACCCGGTCCGACGATCAAGGGCCCCATTGAAGAGTCTAAAGACATAAATGGCTGGTCAGAGTCTTATTCAAGGGTCCAGACCTGCACAGACAGACCCTCAAATAACGGTCAGAGGGCTCTCTGCACCGATCGGGGACCCCCTGAGTCGACATGGGCCTGTATGTCGATCAGGTACCACCGTGCCACATAGTCGGCCTCGTGTCGGTATGGGCCTGAGGACCCATTTCCCAATCAGCTATAAAGCCGGGGCCAGTGATTTACACTGGTCGGGGGCCTTGTATTCGTTAGGGACCCACAATGCCTAAAAGAGGGCCTTGTACTCGCAATGGCCCCGAGCAGACCAAGGGTAGTTTTTGCTGAGGCCAGAAGAGGGGCCCGGGTGGCCCACCGGAACCGACTTTCAAAGGCCCGGTTGGAAGGCATAAGGGCCCAAGGAACTGGCTGTAGGTCACATAAAGAATCGCGGCCCGTAGGGTCGTAATCTGAAATATCAGTCAGAGGTCCTCTTGCACCGTTTTAGGGACCCCTGAGACAATGCCGTTATTTAAGTCGGTCAGAGACCATTAACACCGAACCGTCGGCTCAACATCCGTCAGAGCCCTTGAGACCAATTTTTCATGCAGAAACGAAGTCGGGGTCCGCGATTTGCTATGTTCAGGGTCGCTGACATCAAGTGGTCCCGAGTCGGAGCGGTGTCTGAGTGGGCCCGAAGAGGAGCCGAAGGGTCCCTCGAGACAAATGATCAAGGGCCCTATGGGAAAGCTGAAGGGCCGAAGGACTGGCTGCAGTTCACATTAAGGGCCCTGCCCGTAGGACCGTGACCTCAAATGTCAGTGAGATGATCTCTTGCACCGATAGCGGCCGCTGAGACAGAGCGTTCCTCTATTGCGGCCGGAGATCAGGAACAACGAGCAGTCAGCTCCGTGTTGGTCTGAGTTCTGGGGTCCATTTCCCAAGCAGGGACAAGGCCAGGACCACGATTTACATCGGTCAGGCTTCTGTATCGTTCAGGGGTTCACAGCGCCCAACACGGCACACTGTCAGCTAGCGGCCTCGAATCGGTCAGGAGAAGATTTGTTCAGTGGGGACGGGGACGAGAGCCTGAATGGCTGAGGGCGTGGGTAGAAGGTCTCATGGTGGAGGGTATGGGTAGAGGGTCTAATGACAGAAGGCAGAGGGTCTCCTGCGTTGTTCGGGCCCTCTGACAACTGAAGGAAACAGGGACTTATGAAGAGTGCTCACATTGAGGTAATAGAAAGGTCCTGTGCCAGTCAAGGTACCCCACTCCCAAACGGTGGGCTCTTTGACTCTTTTTTCAGCATGGGCCCGTTAAGCCCAACTGCGGTCTATGTGCCAATAGTTTGACCAACTGCGGTATGCAGGGATGTTGTTGCGTTAATGACGGTTCTTCGCCAGAATGACGGCCGGAAAACACACCGCGGTGGGACAGAATGGCCGTTAAGCTCTTGACCGGGAACAACAATGTGCCCCGCAGAGTTGTAGTCACGGGGACCCCTTTGCCGGAAAGAAATAAGGGGTCTCACTAGGACTCAATGGAGTGGGTCGAACTGAATTGAAAACGCATAAGGCCATCCCATGTTTGCCTGAAAACGTTCATTATTGTTGCAGAATCTAGTGAAACAGCTAGTGAAAGTGAAACTAGCTAGTGAAACAAATATCATGAGAATGTTTGAGCCCGTACGCTGGGTACCGATAGTGAAGTGGTCCCGCGCCTGTGTCAACCGCTGCGCGTCTGGGAAACCACAGGTACGGAGTTCCATTCCCCCGTGGTGCCCGCCCTTCCCGCCAGGGTGAGAGGCTGGCAGCACCGTATGGCCCCAGGCCGAGGCTGCTGCGGCCCCCAGCAGCTGAGTGCGTCATAAAGCCCCAATGGCACGGCCGTGATCTCGGGGAGTAAGGATAGCGATGGCTTGGGTCGCAGTTTTCTTAAAACCGAACGGCGTTAGGTGCTGTAACGCAAAGGGGTGGGCGCCGAGCGCGCAACAATGACGATAAAATGTTCCCGAATGTCTTTCAAAATTGGTTCGTACGGTTCAAATATAACACCGGGCGAACCCATTTCACAACTGAATATATGCTCTGGACAGATTAACAGTTACAGCAACACGACAAATGTAAATTGTATATTTACTCCTCCCGTCCCACGACCAGATTCGAGCGCCACCCCGCGGTGCTGTAAAGACCAATATATTATTGTCATTGATCTAAAAACCGCACAGATAAAATACACGCGCCGAATATATCTGGATGCACGTTTTGGTGTCCAAAGCGTTCAAAGGTACTTCTTTTAAATGGATCACTATTTTCATCCACCTGTTGGCCACGGCCCAGTGTAAGCCACGAGACCAACGCTGCACGGCCTAGGGAGACTGCAACGCCTGGCGTCGAGTTTTTTTTCTTCTTAGATATGCGAGCGCGCGTGCTCAGAATTACGCTACATAATTTGCACCACTAAACAATGCTGATTGAATGTTGCAGGTATCGAGACAAACACGGCCTGAACATGTTAATGGAACTTGCTGCCCCATTTTGATCTTAAAGCTACATCCACGGAATCCTTGCTATTTGGGTACAACCCAGATACAAGTTCTGACAAAGTTTCTGAGTTCTATCGGTTCAAAATGAGTCCCCTGGACTATTATAAAATGAAGAGCGCCAGCGACCTATTTCGTGGCCATTTAACGCTCAATGTTGGTTGTTTATTACCTACAAACTGGAGACAGAATGGATCTCGTGGTAGCATCTGCCTTATATAAAATGCGCAATATATAGGGAAAACATGTCCTCAGTAACAACTGGGCCACACCCGGCGATTTTCTTTTCGGGGGGGGGGGGACTCTTACTATAAGGGAGCCTTTTGTCCATCCTGTGCCCCTCCCCTTACCAAGGCTCTGGCTGCGCCCTTGCAACCGGCGCTACACTTCCAGGAACTTTCGGAGGCCTCTCTGACGGCAAAGCTCTGTTAGGTTTTATTGCAGAAAAAACATCGCGGCTGCATCTCTCTGTAGCGGTGGACCATGCCCCGGGTCAGTGTATCAGCATGTAAGGCGAGTGGGGCGAAGACTCATGTCTGAGTGAGGAGAACAATCCCGGCTCGGGGAGGTGCGTCACGGTGGCGCCGGCCAGTTGCAAGCAGATCGTGTTGCGGGTATGGTATAAGAGGTGCTGCTCGGGCGCGTGGGGTGGGTCTCTCTGTCGGTGTTGCGTGCGGCAGTTCGCCGTGGTGCGTGGGGTGGTCCGCCGAGATGTGACCACTGAATACACTCTCACCAACCACCGATTATCGCGTTGCAACAGTTGACTCCAAAACCATCCAAATGGCGTTATCATTTTGGGTGACTGCCCATAGACACTGCGTTTCAACGTTGTTCAGCGTTCCCATCAAGTGTTATTGAGGGTGACCAGTCTCCCCCTTATGCACACTGGGCAGCCAGTCGTAAAACGAAGGACCTGGAAGGGAGCCGCGACAAAATGCAAGCTGAATCGATCGCATGGTGCTATGTTGAACTCCAGGGCTCTAAAATGGACGACGAAAAGGCAATCGCAGAAGCCGGTGTCCATTCTGGATTCAGGTAGACACAATCAGCCCGACCTGTCAGCTGGAGGCGATACTCATTTTGTAGTCAACAGACCACAACCCTCGCGACGGGTAACGGGTCGAATACAGAGCCGGGTGATGGCACGGCGCCCCACCGGGGCCTCCACACAGACGTCAGACAGTCTGCTGGACAGCAGGCACGACGTAGTTGTCGCATGGGACATACACGCGGGAAGTCTAGTAGATGCCTTAGAACACGGCGCTCGGAACGCCGGTAGTCAAGAGCGTTCCACAATGTATTGTAGCCTATCTGTCCGCCCGGGCAGCCTGCGGCGATGCGGGGCTTGGTCTGGCACATTCGGCGCCTCGAGTGTACCGCAGACGCAGACCATGCCACCCGGCTGCCGGCGCCCGGACCCCCGCAGCCGAGCGCTGACCTCTGATGGCGGAAGCGGCGAGCTTCCGGTCCCGCCGACCGCTCCGGCCACCGGATACCCAGCGGCGGAGCAACTGTCACCGTGGGCACGTGCCACCTCTGGAACACGCCCTCCGGCTCCACCGCACCAGTAAATACAGTCTAGCCCATTCGTTTATTAGTTCATTGGATTTTTGAAAGAAAAAATACATTTCTATAACATGCACAATATTACGGGTTATACCCATCCTAACAATCACTCCTTCCTTCCTCCCGCCACTCCGCTGATTTTCACGCGCGAACCAGTCGATAGGAAAACTAATAATCACCACATAGATCAACCGTTCATTCAGTTTCCCGCGCCGAAGTAAACAGAAGTAAAGTTCAAGAAAACAGACGTTTTGCATGCAAGCGATGCTTTTGCATACAGCCGTGTCGGGTCGGCAAATTTACACAATTTCACCCCGGTCCCACCAAATAGCCTACTCTGTTTTTATACCACAATGGATTGTGCAACGAGCCTACCGTTTCCATTCTGAGTAGCGGCATATGCACTAGATCAGACACGCCCTAGGCCGCACTAACGGTGGGGGTACGACACACGTGAGTCTAGCCATTACAAACTAGTTCAGAAGTAAACATGCAGGTTCGAATCAGACGGCGTCAGCGCCTGGCGCCGACACTGGAGTGCACCGATGCCTGATCAGACGCGCCAGCTGCGACACGGGCTCGCCGGCTGGCCGGCCGCCCCGTGTACGCCACTGTCGCTGCCCTGAGATTGTTGTAGTGTCCGCCCTCGGCCGCGCACCTCGCCCGTGCCCCGGCTAAATGCATCTAAAAAGCGGCGGCACCGCGCGCGCGGGCCGTCCGGCTATGGAGCCTGTCCGCGGCGCGCCCTCACGAGTGTCACACACCGGCGGCAGTGGCCCGCTTCAGAAGCGGCGGCGCGGGGCGGCGCGGCGGGCGCGCGAGCGGCCGCCGCCCGGCTAGGTCTAGACGCGGACGCTAGGCTCCGCGCTATCACAAACGGGCGCTGGCGCCGGCGGCGTCGGCCGCGCGGCGCCACTTTACCGACCGGCCGGGCGAGCGGGCGCGGCCGCCCGCCTCGCGGCCCCCGCGCCGCGCGCCGCCCCCGCCAAGCGCGCGCCTACGCAACAAGCTGCTCAGCCAGCCTCACGAAAAGCGCAGGAAAGCCAAAATGTCCGCACGCGGGCAGATACGCACAAGAGCCTTCGCACCACGCACGCTTGTCGACCAAACATACGGTTAACAGAGAAAATTGCGAAGCGAAGCTCGCACGCGGTCAGTAGCTAACAAGACGACCTGGGCCTGGCGCTGGCGGGAGGCGGCGGCCGGCGCGGCGGGGCCGGGACGGCGGCCGCCGCCGCGCGCGCCGCCACGCCCCCGCCGCCGGCAAGCTTCAACACTAGCCTACCGGTAAAGAATCAGAGTTCAACAGTTCCTGAGCTGACCATTATTACCATGCGCCGAGTCGTTGGCCCTACATCACTTGCAGGATCTGGGAGGCCTCGAACACCGTGTTTGGTGGCAGGATGATGCCCGTGGACACGTTGCCCGCCTCCACGCAGATCATGTTCGGGAACTCCTCGTCACCGAAGTCGGCGATCTCCTTGGCCTTGTGCTCCCACGGGTTCCAGACCACTGGGAAAAGCACATTGGAAATCACACGTCAATTTCCAAGAGCTTAAGGCAGCTGAGGATGGAGCACAGAATATATGTGAGGAGGCTCTCAAGGCGTTGCACGCCGCTGATGATGAAGCGTAACGCTCACGTCAAAAGTTAAGACCTCTGGTCAGTGTTTCTAGCTGTTAGTATCGTTACCTATGCCGCCGTGAAACCGTTCGCCTCGGGCGTCACTGCACGCCGCTTTTCACAGAGAAAGGCTCTCAAGGAGTCCACACCATTCAGCAAAGCACTAAAAAAATAATGATAACAATGAGAAGCCAGGGTCAGACGAGTTCTAGATAACCGCACAAATACATAGGGCGAACGTTACCCGAAGAGATTCAAACGTCTGGAACAACAAACAACGCACACCTTGACCCTCCCTCGGGACCACGTGAGTCACCTTCCGGCTCTTTCCGGACAGCCCAGCACACACAGCTCACGCCAGCCTGCCGGTCCCCGCCCTTCCGCGGTGTCAGCTCGCGCCGCTCCCCAGCGCACGCACCGGTGTCAGGCAGGTTGAACTTCTGTATCCGCATCTTGCGGCCGGAGACGACGTTGGTAATGATGTGCTCCTGCGGCGTGTTCTGGTAGATGCGGTCGGTCCACTCGTTGATCATGACCACGTCGCGGCCCTCCTGGTACACGGCGCCGTCGCGGGTCTGCCGGCCGGCACGCGCTCTCGTGGTTACGTCACGCGTCAGTGCGACACGGTTAGCGACCGCGGTGTTGGCACACAACGGCCTGGCCCGGCCATAGTCAGGTCCGGAGGGGCACGGACACCAGCCGGGAACAACTGTACATGCTTGGCCAGCACTTCAAGCCAGCGACACTCGATACAAGCGGTTAGACAGCCCTACATACATCCATGAGGTTCCAACGTATCCGGCTGTCGACAGTCAGCCTATGGTAGCCAGATCTCTGGGGGACGACAGACTGAGCGGGCCACGCACGAGCGCCACATCCTCCGCCCACGGTCAGCCGTTGGTCGACGCGACGCCGCCCCGGCGCCACCCCCGCAGCGCCCTTCCGTCAGGCGGCGGAGGCGGCGGCGGCGATACGCCGAGAAAACCGCCTCATGTCCGCCCAGTTGTAGATAAGGCGTGTCCGGTTTCACCCAAACAGCATGAGGCGTGAGCGCGCGGATAGCGACAGCACCGCCTGAGACGGGACGTTTTCCGCCTTATTCGATCACGCCTGGTTCTGGGGTCACCAAACGTGCCTTTCATCAGGCTTCCAAGCCGGCAATTTAGCAGACCTGTGGAAACTACGCTAGCGCCTTTCCTCATCCCATGTAATCATCCCGAGTACTCTGACCCTATTTGACGCCTTACGGCGCCCAAAATAGACATACGCACCGCAGCCTTCGCCGAGGATATCGCAAAGCCAGCACCGCTCACACGTCTCAGTGATCAATGGCCCGTATGGTGTGATAGAGACTGTCACAGCAGCCCCCAGGCCGCGGCCGGCGGCAATCTCACCCACCTTGTCGATGAACGTGCAGCCGTGCATGCCGGTGATCTGGCACTTCCTGACGTCCGGACACTTGAAGTAGGTGTGCAGCAGCAGCGTGAAGCTGAAGGTGTCCTGCGAGCCCAGCGGGTTGTACACGCCGATGTTGAAGTGCAGTTCCTTCTCGCGCAGGATCAGACGGTAGGTCAGACGGAACCTGCCGAAGGCACGGGCAGCGCAGCGCGTCAGGTGCACGGCGGCATGGAACGGCAGGCAGGGGTGGCATGCGGCTGCTGACACAAGGACCACGGCAAAAGGGGAGGGGAGGGTAGGGACGGAGTGGGGTGAGCAGGCGACGGGAGAGTCGCATGTGTGCTATCATGCGCACAAGGTCGGACGCATTTTTTTGACATTGCGTAATAGCATGGATGCGAACCAGTTGCACGAATCTGATCGTATTCGCCCAGTGCGCTTCATGTTCTAGCTCACATGGACAGTGGCCACCTGACACCGGCAGCGAGGCAGCACCACCGGGCATGCAGCCAAGGTCACGGCCGCAGACCCGAGCCGGACATGACAGGGCATGACAGCGCAGAGAGCCGAGCGTGACGCGGTGAGCGGCCGCCTCGACACAGCGGGGCTGGCCCGGGGAGCGGGACCGGACAGACAGCGGACCGGCCAGCGGCGGGCGGCGGGCGCCGGACCGGCCCCGACTGCCACCGGGGGCCGAGGGCGGCTCCGCGGCCGCACAGTCCGACGCGGGCAGGCGCGACACTCACGAGTACTTCCAGAACTGGTGCGTGTACTCGCTGTCCATCAGCACGAAGATGGCCTCGATGTCGCCCGAGGGCAGCCGCTCGGGCGCCTTCTCCAGGTGCCAGCGGCTGGTGCGCGCGAACCCGTGCTGCGGCCCCAGCGGCCACGGCCCGAAGTGGGCTGCCCGGCGCGGGTCCAGCAGGTCAGAGCGGCCATAGCGGAGCAGCAGCACGCGCCAGAGCGCAGGCGCACGCCCCATGCACAGGTGGCACGAGTGCCGAACACTGATGTCGCGTAGCCATCACATAAACTACGTCACTCGTTAGGGGCAAATAGCAATCCCCACGAAAATTGGGAACGACAATGACCACAGATCACGGATCCGGGCTCTAGAACGCAGTCATGAAAAGAGCGACGTGACAGGCCAAGCAACCGCTTACGTCCCCGACCGATTCCTGCTCCAGCCGTCGTTATGTCTCGCCAAATACGCCATCCGATAATGGCGAAGAGTACTCACGGAAAACTATCGGAATGCCACCACGAATAGCCTTCTTCCCGTCAAACAGTGCTTGTTTGCTGAAAACAATAGTGCATTCACTTATTGATGCTACACACTCACTGTGGGGGCCATATGACCCCAGTGCTCAGCGCGCTCAAAAACCTGAATAAACACACTTCAAGGAATGAAACGGAATCAGCTGCACGGGTACAGGGGTGGGAGGCAATGCAATGGCGATAATAGTTCAGAAAACTTCATAATTTTTCACACAATGTTTTCACCACTCGAGGATTCGCCCCACAAATTTCAAATGACGACTGCTGAATGTTCAAAACAGACTTACGCCAGACAGAAGATTTCGGGAATGGTTCTCACATGCATGTTTATATATATATATATATATATATATATATATATATATATATATATATATATATATACATGCGTATGCGTGTACGTGCGCATGTGTGTATTACAAATTGAAGATCTGACAATACACCGGGCCGCTGGACTGATGCGAGTCCTCTCGAGCAGTACAAGATATTGCAACCCATAATATTACAAAGACATCACTTCAAAACAATTGATGCTATGGATTGCGAACACAAACACACCGTCCAAATAATCATTTACCTGACGAACAGCTGCTCTTGGTTGTTAACGCGCCATGATACAACTGTGGCACCTGAAACAACGCATATGGTTAACATGAATCGACAAAACCTTCAAGGCCACGTTGCACATCAACCAGAGTGTACTTCCATGTGCACACATGAATTGTTGCACATAAATAAAATTGCAACAGAAGGGGCAGAGATTCTGCTCATAATGTGATCAGCCACAAGCAGAGCAAACAAAACATTGTTCAAAATGCCCAGAGCGCTATGATACGCAGAAGCTGTGACACGCATTTGTTAGAAGGACAAATGCTGGAAACTTGGAAAAAACAGTCTAGTTTGTGAAAGGCCTGCTGCATAATCATGCTTTCTTTGCTTCACACCCAAGTTTCCCGGAATGGTGCCAACATACAGGCACATAACAAATATTGAATTTTCAGAGTTTTGACTTGTATGACAATGAATGTCCGCCATTACGCCCTTGTTCTGCGAACTTCCCACGGTCACCGCTAATCGCCCCTAATCTCCCGCGGCAATCTTCTATGGACCATTCTAACAAGCATCCTTACAATATCCTGACGATCCAAATAGCTTTACTGGATCTCGCTTGGCCAAGTACAGCACTGGCGTCTAAAAGATAACTAATGGACTTTGGACATGGCATGCAGCAGCCGTTCTAGGATCAACACCGGGAGCAAGCGCACATTTGGAACGCAGCAGCCGCTTTGGGCTCAATACTGGGAGCAAGTGCACATATTGCACGCAGCGGCCGCTCTAGGATCAACATCGGGAGCAAGCGCACATTTGGAACGCAGCAGCCGCTTTGGGCTCAATACTGGGAGCAAGTGCACATATTGCACGCAGCAGCTGCTCTAGGATCAACATCGGGAGCAAGTGCACATTTGGCATGCAGCAGTCACTTTGGGCCAACACCAGGAGCAAGCGCACATTTGGCGTGCAGCAGCTCCTCTAGACTCAACATTGGAAGCAAGCGTGTATATGACATGTCATACCCAGCTTCTGTATCTCTAGTTGAGAGCACACACACCATAGAATTGGAATAAGGCATGTTTGTAGTATCCCCAAAGCATTCAATTGCTCCTCAATAACTAAATGCTTTCAAATGCATGATGAGAATAACTTTTCTAGGAATACAATGATGGTACAAAGTGCTGCAGTTTTCAACTCAAAGTGCATTTTGTTGAAGCTAGGGCATAAATAAATCTGCAGAAAAAGAGCTCCAATGAACTTAATTGTTTATTAGATACTCAATGTTTGTTATTTGACACCATGGCCAAGGGCATAAGGTCAGAACTTTTTAGAGAGATGGGGTTACCATGCCAACTGTCTGATACAATCATTATACTATGATCAAGATCAGTATAAGAAAATGCAAATTAAAGCATGAAAACATCCAAGCTCAAATGCCCTCAGCATATGCTTGTGCTTCTCAGCAAATGCAGCCATTCCAACAAAACAGCCCCTGTGTGGCATTGAGATTTTAGACATGACTACACACAACTTTCAAACACTTGCTGAGACAATAGTCAAAACTTTCTTATTACGGTTGTGGATGCCTAAGACGCACACAGTGGTCATATGCAAGAACAAATTACACCTAAAAATAACTAGCTAGGATGAACTTAGCAAAAGGTACATGCTGTCAGATGTCATTCTGTTTGACCCACAGCAGCCAGGGCACAGCACTCATGCCCAAGCCTGGACCTAGACAGCTGTGTCATCATATTGCTGTCATAGACACTGGCATGGTGGATGTGCATGCAGTATATTTATTCTCCTTAGCTCAAGGCAAAAAAGTCATTTTGTTTTTAGGATACAGACACATATATTTCATCCATTTGACACATTGTCACAAGTCAATGTGAGGGTACTGTGAATAACAATGTGTTCCAATCCAGTCTGACCTTTGTACACTAAGCAGTTTGTATCACTTACCCTATCATATTGCACAAGTACCTCATCATCTTCACACTTACAGAAAACCCAGTAATAATTCCTATAAACAATGAACACAATCTCTAGACAGAGACTTAACAAGTTATGGCTGTGTTGCATGCACCTAGCTACCTCCCCAGCCTTACTTTTAAAGATTTAGGACATTTCTTGACTGTTTCAGGAGCAATTATATCAGAGAGCTACTTCAGAACCTATGGGCCTCACATTGATTTTTTGGTTAGATCCTGAGACAATTATGTAAACCCTATTACAGACCCAAGCACAAAGATCATTGTCAGCATTATGAACTGCTTTGAATCCCAACCTCCCCTTTTCAAAGACTCTGATCATTTCATGGGCACTCCAAAGAGTTAGGTCTCTAAATGTCTACAGGACTGAATAAGTGGCATGATGGAGGTAAGGGGCCTTGATTATCTCATTAAATATGTAAATAAAATTAGACTGCCTGGCCATGCCCAATCTGTGACCATAGTTCCAGTGCATCAACCTGAAATCCTAACAATTATCATTAATAATAATAAATTAATAAATAGTTCCTCCATCTTATGACTTTTAAGCTAAGTGAATTCTCTGGAGCCCCTTGTAACAAAATGTGTTTTAAGGCACAAGGCATAATTCTGGAAACAAAGACCACTCACTGACTGGCTTATTGCTACAGGAGAATTTGCCAAAAGCCTGGCAAGATATTGCCAACATAGCAACTCGGAGCAGTAAAAGTGACATGGCAAAATCAATGAGGTTAGAAGTATAGCTAATTCCATCAAACATGGGCCAACTATGAAGGGCAGACAAAGGCCAAGACTAAACTACTTTTCACTGAAGAGTATGCTTCGCACAATAGTTTCTGAGGCTCGCTTCAAGTTTCTTTACCATAGGTATGTCACTTCTGCACAAACATTTGATGGGCAAAACATGGCATCCATGAAGTGGTTTAGTTGTCATGCCCTTCAGTTACCCATTATTTGGGAAAATGATTTTGAGCTTGTGGGGATCAAGTCACCTCTGCCCATCCTCCATGGTCAGCCTGCTATGCAGTAAGATCAAATGAAATACTCTTGGATGTGATGGTCAATTTTTATATTTATTTGTATGTTGCAGCCAAAAACATTGGGAGGAAGGCCCCAACCCAACATAGGGCGGCCCAAACCAACATGGTTGAGGGGGTAGGGCCCTCACAAGAACTACAAATGAAAGAGATACCCATGGTCCTTCCCCTGTTCATGGCACTGAATTTAGTCAAATCTCAATATGTAGATGGTTAGTTTATATGTTTCTTCCAGACTATCATATACATGCATGCAAAATAGTATTCATTCCCATCCATCCCAATCATTTTCTTGTTGGGGTTGGTATAACATACTTTCTGGGTGTCATGATTGTAGGGGCATAGGCTGAATCTAACACAAGCTTTAAATATACTAAAAGGTGCAGGTGACTTGAAAACCATACCACATGAACAGTTTGGTTACACAATTCCTCAACCATAAAAGTCATAAAAGGCTACGGACAAAGAGAACCACTCCAGACTATTTTTTGCTAGGGCATTTTCCTGTTTATAAAAAAACCGCCCATCGAGCCTCAGGTGAGGCAACTGACCCGGTTGGAGACAAACAATGCGCAGCACAGACGCAGCCCTTGTCGGGGCAGACGCCCTGAATATTATACTTTCGCACTGCTAAGCGGAAAAATAGGTTACTTACCGTGGAGATTCACAGTACACGTGGTGTTGTTGCCTCTGTCAAGTACGACAACGGCAGTCGGGGCCGCCATCGACATTGCAATCCCGATGCACCACCCGACCGCTCCGCCAGCAGGCAAACAAACCCGACCGGCCGCACCGATAGAGCTATTACGAGTTACACTGTTCGTTAAAGCCAACTGAAATTAGGAATTTGATGTCTGATTTAATGATCTTCATCAGCTAAAAAAACTAAATTTTGTTCTTTTATATGAAAATTGACTTTCTTGAGTGTATCTCTTGTGGCGTTGTCAAGATAAATTGGGGGAATACTTTGTTGGAAAATGCTGCTTCGTCACTAGATTTCACATGAGGAGAGCCTCAAGATCATTGCCGCAACTCGGGCAACTTTAGCTCACAGATAGAGCTAATTATGCCATTGACGAATATGCAAGTCACTAAGTGTGACATCCAAAAAACAAAGGAGTTATTAAAGATCAAAGTTCAAGGTCGTTCAAGGTCATTGCTTGGTGAACCTTCCTGGACTCGACAGGTTGTGTCGTGCGGCCGCGCGGGTGCGGCCTGGTCAGCGGTTAACCGGCGCGGCCGGCTGTGTTTATGCCTCCGGGCCATTGTCCACGTGACCTGGCCGAGGTCGCGTGTGCGGACCGGAGCGGCCGCAGACTAGAGGTAGGGACGGCCGGTTTAGGTCAGGGGCTGAATCTGTCCTGCGCAAGTGCTGGGTGTTGCTGCGTATTTAGTATCCGAATCGTGATTCAAATACACAGGTTTCGACCCAATTTGGTTTGTTGATAGAACAAAACATTCCAATTAATGAGATGGCATTTTCCAAATGCGACATTTAAAACCACGCCAGTAAAGAACCATAGAAGCTCAAAGTCACTCAAAATCGGACTCTTCTCATTGCTTTGAAAGTTGGCACAAACATTCACATCACATCGCTCCACCTAGCCTCCAAATATTAGATTGTGACATTCAAACTTCCGTCTTCCAGAGGCTTGGAAACGACGGCTGCGCACGTGTTAACATATGCACATTTCATGTCAGTAAAATGGCAGAGACTCCTTCAATCACCCTGAAATTTGGCACAAATATGTTCCATGTACATACACAGTTTTCACCAAGTGGCAACTTGTGACATTTCCTTTCACGCATTCCACACGCCATCAAACAATGGGATATATAACATATCCCTAAAACGACACAAACAGCGTCGTAATATGCCACCAAGACCAAGGAATGCCGAACATTGCATCTACTATGATGTAATTAGCCGTTGCCTCTCATGTGGTGTGCCATATGACGGTACGGCATGCAAAATGTGACTCACAGATCAAAAATGTCACGTTTGATGCCGGTTTTCGCACATTCGCGGACTTGTCTGATTGCTGTGAAATTCGCCACAAATAACCACCTTACATGGTTCCACCTATCCACCAAATATTAGTAGTACGACATTGAAAAGTTCACCTTACAGGGATATTCAAAGCCTTGGAAATGAGAGCTTCGCATGTGTCAACATATACACATTGTATGCCAACTAAATGCACGGGAGACTCCTTCGATCATATTGGCATTGGGCAAAAATCTGTACCATGTGTGTTTATGGTTTTTCACCAAGTGGCAATTTGGGACATTTGAATTTACGCATTCCAGAGGCCCTCAAATAATGGGATATATGACATATCACTAAAACGACACAAACAGCGTCGTAGGGTGCCACCAAGACCAAGGAATACTGAGCAATGGATCTTCTATGATGTAATTAGCCGTTGTCTCTCATAAGATGTGCCACATGACGGTACGGCATGCAAAATGTGACGTACAAATCACAAATGTTACATTCGATGTCGGTTTTCACACATTCGCGGACTCCTCTGATTCCTTTTGAAATTCGCCACAAATGATTAAGTTACATGGTTCCACCTCGCCACCAAATATTTTAGTGTGAAATTCAAACGTTCGCCTTCCAGAGGCATTCAAACCTTAAAATGGCAATTTCGAACGCGTTAACATATTCAGATTGCGTGGCAGCTAAATGGGCGAGACTCCTTCGATCACCTTAAAATTTGGCACATATGTGAGCAATATACATACACAGTTTTCACCAAGTGGAAACTTGTGACATTTGAATTTACTCATTCGAGAGGCTCTCAAATCATGGGATATATGACATATCACTAAAACGCCACAAATAGCGTCGTAAGGTGCCACCAAGAACAAGGAATGCTGAACAATGCATCTCCTATGATGTAATTAGCTGTTGCCTCTCATATGATGTGCCATATGATAGTACAGCATGCAAAATGTGACGTACAAATAAAAAATGTCACATTCGATGTCGGTTTTCACACATCCGCGGACCTTCTCTGATTGTTTTGAGATGCGCCACAAATAATCACCTTACATGGTTTTCACGTGGCCACCAAATATTATAGTACGACGTTGAAACGTTCATCTTCCAGAGGCATTCAAATCTTGGAAGTGACAGCTTCACACGTATTAACATATATGCATTACATGTCAGTAAAATGGCAGAGTCACTACTTCGATCACCTTGGAATTGGGCAAAAAACTGTACCATTTGTGTATACAGTTTTTCACCAGGTGGCAATTTGCGGTATTTGAATTTACACATTCCAGAGGCTCTCAAACAATGGGACATATGACATATCTCTGAAAACGCCACAAACAGCGTCATAAGGTGCCACCAAGACCAAGGAATGCTGAACAATGCATATTCTATGATGTAATGAGCTGTTGCCTCTCATATGATGTGCCACATGACGGTACGGCATGCAAAATGTGACGTACAAACATGGGGGTAGGAACGGGGGGGGGGGGCAGGGGGTCATGGCATTCCAGGGGGGTCTACTGTATTAAACATGCATGCCGATTTGTCTAGTTCGCCAGCCATCTCCCTTAAGATGAGTCATTTTCTTCGTTTGCTCATTAGCCAGTGATACAGCCGCAAGGCCGACGCCTCATGGCCTGGAGACTGCAACGCCGGGCGTCGAGGCCGTTGTTGCTATGACTCGCGAGCACGCTTGTTCAGCACCATATTACGTAGCTTTCTTATCAGTAATCAGCTCTGACAGAATCTTGAGCTTATAAGACGAACATGGGCTAGCCATGTTAATACGAGTTAGGAACCCCATTTCATCTGCAATCTACAGTCAGGGAGAACTCAATATCTCTAAAGAACACAGAAAAACATGGAACTGGAGTCTATGTGAAACTATCGGACTGCCTGCGGGTGATCAGGGATGTTGTTGCGTCAATGAAGGCCCCTGTGCTGATCCAGGGCTAATTGCGCGGATCAGAAGGCCTCCCGTGTCAGGGATGGGAACAATGTGATATGATATATCCTCTAATGACCTCCGGGTCGACCAGGAGATCCCGACCCGTGCCACCAGAATGATAGCCAGAAGACACTTCGCGATGGGACGGAATGGCCCTTCAGCCCTTGGCCAGAAACGGTAATATACCCCTGGTGTTCTACTCAAGAGGTCCCTTGCCCGGAAGGGAGTAAGGGGTCTCATTACAGTTCGGTAGAGTGGGGCTCTCATTATTGCTGAAAAGCCCTGATCAAAACGAATTTAAAAAACGACCAAGGTCATGCCATGTTTGCCTGAAAATGTTCATTTCTTAGAATGCATTACTGAAACAAATTACATCAAAAGGCTTGAACATGCCCGCCCGCAACCTCGAGAGCAAGGGCAATGATGGTCTGGATTTCAACTTCCGCAAAACCGATAAGTTTCGGCCGCTGCAAGTGCCACCAGACTGCGGGTGCCGTGTTAATCTGTCTTCTGGACAGATAAATAGCTGTGGAAACACGAAAAATAAGATTTTACGTTCCCTCTTCCAGTTCAGCCACCAGCTTCCAGCCCCACTTCACGGTGCTTTAGGGGCCAATCCGTTCTTTTCATCAATCTAAAAATTGCACGCGTGAAATATGCCCTCAGACTGCCGTCTAAGTACAAGATCTGATGTCGTGAAGCGTCCAAGGGTACTCTATGAGAAGCGTCGTCATTTTCGTCCACCCGTTGGTCACAACTTAACATTGACTACTGGGCTAGTTATCCGCGGACTAAGGAGACTGCAACGCCGGGTGTCGAGTTTTTTGTTGCTAAGATTTGCGAGCGAGCCTTTTAAAAAACACGTTACATGAATTTAATCACTAATTGATTCTGACTGAATGGTGAACATTTTCAGACAAACATGGCTTGGCCATGTTAATGCACATTGTTGACCACTCGATTTGCAACCAAATTCTCGTCTTCAAATTTGGATCACACATATCGATCTACAATCTACCTTCGCGATGTCCCCAATGCCTGTAGAACCCAGATAAAAAATTGGACAAAGCTTCTGAATTCTATCAGCTTAGAAAGAGTCAGCTAAATATTGTAAATTAAGAGCGCCGGTGATTTCTTCCATGCAGTTGTCCAGCGCTTGATTTCTGCAGTTTATTGACCTCAAAACGCAGAATTGAGCTCACAGTAGCTCCTGGTGTCTGTTCTGTTTACAAGGTAAAAATAACAATAAAACGAAGAAAGCCGTGTCCACTTGTTAACAAGTGAGCCATATGCGGGGATTGGAGGGGGGGGGGGGGGGAAGCACGATAAGATGGGCTTTCGTCAACCTTGTGCTCCCCCTCGGCAAGGCCCTGGCTACGTCCTACCTACACACAAAAGCAGATCAAGTCGTATACGTTGCATGATGGTAAATGAAGTGGCCGTTGGGCCAATTCATACCTAAGGCAGACAGCTTCCCGGAGCTATATTTCTGCGAGGGTGTGGTGTGAGGGAAGATAATTCGGAAAAAGAGACCGTTGCAGGTGCCCAACACGTGTTTCATACACCATGTAGTAGTAACGCTGATCCAAAAGTATGCAACAAAGCAGCCATACGATCAGTTCCCAGTCAGTCATGCGGGATACATCCGGGTCAGGGCAGTGGCCGCCGACGGCGGACAGGAGCAGGGCCCAGATAAGGAACATATGACAGATGGGCGTTATTATGTGGCCTGATTCTAAAAAGAGGATTCTCCATTTTTATGGCTTTTGTCATTGTTTCTAGTAGTTTCAATCTCCCGACTTTGTTTCCGCCTAAAATATCTTG